ATCACAATTGTAGTAGGAAACTACTAATCATGATTATGTAATACATCAATCTCTCCTACTTGAAAAAATTGGTCTTCGAGTTTGGTTAAAGAAGAGAAATAAAATCAATTGGGAGGAAAAAACTCAAAAATTTCTGTAAATGCCAATATTGAAAAAACGATCATTTCATAATGTGCTCGATAAACGCTATTATACTCTTTAGTTGCATTCTTCAAAGTCAACTTTCTTCCTATCATGCTTGTTATATTTTCTTCACGGCTAATTTGTACATGACATTCCTTCATAAACGAAGCATGATTCAATTTCTCATCCTTGAATTCGCTCTCGGTAGAGGCCACTGGTGTTTTTTTCAATTCTTCGTACTTTCACTTTCTGCTATAATGTTTAGTAATGCTTTCTTCAACATAAAAGAACCGGTACGCAAACTCAAATTCTCATCGTCCATGTTTTTTTTAATTCTATGCAATTCTTTAACGCTAAAACTATATAAAATGTCTCACAATTTTTATTCTCAATTTGACAATCTTCACATTTGGCTCCTTCGTTTGGATACATCTGATCTTCAACTGGTTCATCCTTGGAGTGCGGCTCAATCTTGAAGTTTTCAATTACAGTTTCAACTTGCACATGCTTTTCTTTTTTCTCGGATTGCATATGCAAGGAATCAGCAGATCTCGAATTTTCAACTTGCACATGCTTTTCTTTTTTCTATTTTAGTATCATGGACAGTACCATCATGATTATTTTGAATTACATCTTTTTTAATCTCATCATCTGCCTTATGGATCTTTTTCTATTTGTTTACACTAGGACTCACAAATTGCTCTTCACTTGACACCAAAACAATCATATCATACAACCTAAACACATACCTATTATTTCGACCTATATCAGTGTCATCTACATGATGGTTATGTACTACATCAGTTATCTATCTACAAACATCACATTTTCGAAAAATATTAGGTTACGATTTTAAAACCCGAAAACCTAGTGAATTCTTACATTGAATTCTTATGCAGACAACAACGAATGCCAAATTCCTTCATAATAAATTTTTTAAGCAGGAGCGATTCCTATTGGAAATAAAATAAAAACGTATATAAAACATCCAACTTCCTTATAATATACATTGTGCCAAAAGTTAAAAGGCTTTCCATAGGTTAAAATTCCTAGCCACTTGATATTAAAGTAATACTCACTTTCAATTTTGTAGGCACTGTCATAAACACAAGTAACATGCCACCACAATTTTAGGAGTCTATATAATTGAATAAACAACCATTGAAATATACTAAAACGCCGTTAAAACCTACCTCAGGAACAAATACACTGCCAGTCGTGTTCTCTGCAATGCCTTCGATAAGCAAAGACATGACATTAGGAGGAAGCAGGGACTTATTATTTGGGGGGTCAATTTTGTTTCCACAAGAATATGCCTCGACCACGGTCATCTACGTAAAAATCGTAAGGAAAATTATGACAACAGGAAAAAGAAAATTTGTATATCACTACAATAAAAACAACTTACTCCAGAAATTTCTGGGTTAGCTATCTA